AGCTCAAATTCATTTGATTCTTACACAGAAACCAACACTCCTTCGTCGTCCTCTTCATTGATCCCACAAGAAAATCACTTTGGTGATGCAACGCTTGCTCTGGGTTGAGCGGTGGGGTGGGATTTCGCTGGGGAGCAGGTACATTTGGGATTTGATCTTCGTCGCGTGGAACCACTTTTCATCGACGTGGACGTAGTCGTACATGTCAGCAAAACGGAAGTTGTTGCTGGGTCGGACAAATTTCATGGCCCAGTTTACCCGGGCCACTTTGTGGTCACCCGTTAGCTTAGGTTTAATGTGCGAATTATACTTTACCATGAAACCGCGTTTATAGTAGTCTTTGAGTGTGCTCGAGGGTAGGCCAATCGCATGCGCGATCCGCTGGAGAGTCGTCCGCCGTTGTGGTGGTATCGCGCGGATTCGAGCCGGAAGGTCCGTGTACTTCAGTTTCCAGATCTCGGCAATGGTCTGTCTGGTGCGACCAAAGATCTGGGCCACCTCCTTTATGGCGCCATGGCGAAGCTTGCATGGAGCCTGTACTACACGAAGTAGCAGGTGGTCGACGACAGCGCGGCGTTGATCGGAGGTAAGCTCTTTCATTCGAAATCAGCGATGCGCGCCGTGATTTGCCGCTCAAAAGACACCAACATTAAGTTTTTCGGATAATTTTTTCTTTATCCGTTCTTTTTATCTTGCTTTGAGTATTGCTTTTTTCAATAACCGTGTTCGTTTGGATTCAACTCTTTTTTTTGCAGATTCTAGCCAATTGGATGCAGTAGATTGAGCTCTTCGCACATCTAACGTTACCGGTAGTTTCAGATTATTAACATTTGAGAAATTGCAGAAATTTCATCAATTTTTGTCAAATGTTAGATCTATTTTCGTCTGGACGTAGTACTTCCAAGTAATACTACGTAGTATTTGAGAAGTGCGATAATCTTTGTTAACATAATACTACGTAGTATTTGAGAAGTGCGATAATCTTTGTTAACATTTTGGCGAAGGTTTCACATTATGGCGAAGGTTTACTGATTACCCAAGCACTGTCCCACGGCAACCATTTCTCAGCCATGCTTTTCTCGGTAGTCATAGCGAATATCTTGGTAACAGGCATCCATGTGTGTTCCGTTGCACGCAGTGGACACGACCATGGACAACGTACCTCCTGTGCCTGCGCTGCCAACTGTGCTTGTGTCTGCGCCACCGACAGTGCCTGCGCCACCGCCTGTGCCTGTTCCTGCGCTGCCGACTGCGCTACGAGGTGCCATGGACGTACAAAACGCGTTTGCGCTACCAACATCGGAGGACATCGACGCGACCATAGCGGAGACGGACAAGGTTAGCAACTCGACTGTGCCTAAGCTGCTGCCGAAAACAGAGCACCAAGCCAACGTCCGGCTTCCAGAATCGGTATTTGAAAAGCAGCATGATATGTGTTCACCTTTGTGTAGGCTTTCGCCGTCCTCCCGTGTTCGTTGACTTTGAAAGGCTTGCACCCCCCGGTATACTCGTACGTAAATGGCTCTCACGAGTTTCGTTGGGGGAAATTTGCGTGGTTGTTGACAGATGGAGGCATTTACAGCTTCACAATGCCCTACGTTGCCCATACGTGGGGATTGTGCAATGGCATCATGGCTCGAGGCATTGCGGGTGGCGATGTTCCCCAGCTTATCGAGACGCTGAAGTCCTGAGTTGGAACACCAACCTTCAAGGTCATGAAAGTCGTCAAGGGAAACATCAGACCTCCAAGCGATGTCCTCGATGATATGCGGATCCGGCATCGCAAAATTCAACGCAGACTTGCTAAAGTACACTGCTGTATATGAAATTACTGACGACGTTATAGGTGTCGTTTGGTAGCAGTGGATCAAGGCGTCTGAAGAATGGGCGCTTTTGGACTCGAAATCGGACATCCACCACAAGCCTGCTCAGAGGTTCGCAAGGCATGTGGTCGATGACATGCTCGAAGAACGAGTACATGACTTCGTCGCGTATTTCAAGCCACAACTGGTGAGGCGAACATGCTTTATTGTTGTTAACAAATTGTATTAGGGTTCCCTGATTGATTTCGCGGCGGTAAGTTGTGATTCATTTTCATTACTTCAGCACAAATTTGTAGCGAGAAGAAGCATTCAAGCTCGGATAAGAGTTGGAGGTAATGTACTGCAAGTGTACAGACACATACTGGTGGATGTCGACGATCGTACTCTATCTAGGCTGGATACGCTGAGAACTTCAAGAGCTACGAAGTAAGTGATAGTGTACCCGAGAATTACTAATTGCTAATTGATTAGACAAAACTGCATGCTTGCGAAACGGTAACTATGAATCCCGTGGTGATGGTTTGCATTCAATGAAATTGAGGCATATCCGACATGAGTATGACGACACAATCAATGCCAATAGAAGCGACAAGCCGTGTTTGATGACTTCAGCAACCGCAATGACGATGTCAGAAAGCTGCATGACAAGCTGAAAGAGCGCGATGAGCAGATTGAACAACTCAACGGCAAATGAACAGTAAGACATGCAATCATCATAACGTGATTGTGTAGAAACGTTGTATAGAAAGGGTCAAGCATCCGACGAAGTGGAAAGCCTACAGCGTGCTTTAAACGTAAACAAATGAAATATCTTAACATTGTCGTTGATTAGAAACATCTAGGACACGAAGAAGCTGGTGATTGACCGCGATGTAACTATTAGCAAGTTGAACTTCGAATTAAAGGTATGAAAATATCTAGTTCGCTCGTGTCTATTTATGGTTATTTGTAGCGTGCTCTTGTGAGAAACGTCATGCACCAAAAGCGGATGAATTTCGCCGTTGACCTCTTAGCGCCTGATGCACTAAAGGTATGATGATCAAATTGTATGTTGTCATGACAAAGTTGTAGAAGTTCAAGAATTTTGATTTTGATCAAACCACATAAGCCAATAGTAAGCAATGTTTTTATGGATGTACTCAATGTCGTGACTGTAGAGTACTGTATGTTGTCATGACCAAAGTGTCACGATGTAAGAAATCCAAATATTCTACACAGGTAACCGTTTGTTATTGGTTAAAAGCACACAGTATTCTCATTGATGATTGGCTTATAAATCCAAATATTCTACACAGGTAACCGTTCGTTATTGGTTAAAAACACACAGTATTCTCATTGATGATTGGCTTATAAATAGAAGCAGCCTATCAAATTCATCTATTCTATCCGGGTAACCGTACGTTATTGGTTAAAACAGCACGGTATTCTCATTGATCGCTTGTTCTGCGTCAGACTGTTGGGCAGACTCTATGACCCATCTCGGCGCTCCGCGTTTCCATACTCAATGGTTTATGGCGCACTGGTCCGCCCTTCACCGCCATTGGCAATCCACATGCGCTACTAACGTGGACCACATACGCACCGCAGGGGAACTACCCCTCCTCACTGAGGTTAACAACAGCATCCGGCTCAAACGCCGTTACCACGATGCCGCCTCCATGGGCCACGACCGACGCATCCGCGCCCACAGAGCCCATCTCACAGCCAAGACGCTCCAATGGCACTCCTGTAGAATCTATTTACTATCACCTCTCATCCCTCCTCCCATAGGCTACACCGACCCGATCCTCCGGTCACCGTGATTCCCCCCGGACCCCGGGATAACCACCTCCAGCGGTTTAAGCATCCTGTTCCCCTGGAGCCGACACAATTAGGTTTTCAAGTACTTAAGTGCGCTAGCTGCCAACGCAGCTAGTACGCGGCCGAGGCCATTAAGTGCCCGCTGAGTGATTTTAACTTACAGCGTAATATCAATATCAATATCGAGCTTACGATCTCCCAAGCTTCGTCTATGCCCCCGTCGTCGTCGTTCCATGCCTCGATGGTATTGCACAACCGAGCCTCCATATCCGGAAGTGACAGTTATGCGGATTTTATGCAGTTTTACCGTTGGGGTTGCGCAAAAGTAAAATACAGTGACGGTAAACGTCAAAATACAGTCTCATTGTACCATCGCACCATTGGTGATGCCTTGAAAGGCGTATTTGCAGATGCTGTCGTCGTACATTGTGGGACCAAGCACCATTCTGGCGGACAATTTCGACGCGCATGTGACGCAGCGTTCTGCTGAAGCCATTGTTGGTGACCTGTTTAGTATCTAGGAGCCTCTATCTGCGAATTGTACAAGCCAGTTACGACAGCGCACTTTCAATCGCTGGCGGCGATTGAAAGTTGGTTTCAAAAAGGCCATTCAGAAATAATTGTGGCGGAAATATCTCAAATATCGATTGTCAAATTCCGGCCAGTAAGCATACTCGGTCCAAGTGACTTTTGGAGGGTTGTGATTGTTTTCTTGGAAATGGACTCATTTTGTCCTACCAGGTGCAATTTCCCACCTTAATTAACAGTGGGCGGAGCTATCGAGGGGTCCTACCGGATATTATCCGGAACTGATAATGTTTTGCAATTTCTTTGTAGTTGAAATTTGTATCACTATTTACTTGTATTTATAAATAATAGCAGGTTATAAATACAACAAGTTTTTTCACCTTCCATATGGCATAGTGTTTCTTTGCTTACTGAGCGACAGTTTTGATATAGTAAATGCGGTTTTCACAGTTTATGCGTTCTGAGAGTACGATTTCAACACACTTTTCCCGGATCAATTTGGACAAGTATATCGGACGTTACAAGTCCAGGACCCCTCGATGGCTCCGCCCACTGTAAATACTAATAGTATTTATACATACTATGAAGTAGATTTTATTCTACCATCCATGCATTTCAAGATGGAACCATGTCGGCTTTTCCCGGGGTTCACTGTATAGCAACCACCACTTCTATGTCAACCACCTTGAGGGCCCTAGACACTACCGAACCCCTGTATTCGTCCAAGAGTTGGCACCAACGACATGCAGGTGGCCAGGTCAATGCAACGGGATGCCGCAAACGATTGAATCGACGACTTGTACTTGGTCATTCCGGAAAACATGATTTTTTATATTGGAATTCCTAAAGGCAAGGCAAACTATTATTATACGTAGTACTTCGAGTATTGTGCTTTTGCACCTTTTTTGGGAATTGGCAATTATTAAATTCATTGTTTCAACTCACGGGAACATTACATGAAAATCACAATAGTACTGTAGTATGTTGCAAAACACTTGACACCAGGAAATCTACTTTGGGCCACTCTGGCTGCCATAAAAAATGTCAGAAAACACCTCTTTTTGCAACTTTTAACGTCAGCTTTTGTGTTTGGCTACCGAATCTGAAACATTTAACTGTAAATTGACATAATACATCGAATTTTTACTGTTTTCTGGCCGAAACATGTTTCAACTGCAACTGTCCAATTTTTATTACTTTGAAGTACTTTCTCTGTTCCAATATACTGTCGACATTTGACTTAAAAGTGACCCCAAAATCGCATTTCTTGTTTAAATTTGATGAAACGTATCATTCTCGAAAGCGTATGAAAAATTGGAGGATTTGTGCTTACTGTTAGCACATTGCAAAAAAATACAGTCTTGCCTTTAATATTTGAGTTTGTTTATAGCAATTAAACATATTTTAAAAAACAATACGGGGGTCTGAAGGGGATACTTCACCCATTAATACTAGGGCACATATGATCTCATCCATCTGAGAAATTTCTAAACCAATGAAATCAATGGAAATATTTCATGGGCCAATCATAGGGCAATTAATGTCGACAGTAACTTAATTTGGAACAAATGGGATTTTGAATTGTCGACAGTAACTTAATTTGGAACAAATGGGATTTTGAATTGTCGACAGTATATTTATTGGAACAGAGGAAGTACAGTATTAAAATCATGTACTCCGGAGTACACGATTTTCCAGCAATAGTTCTCATGTCACATCAAAACATTTCGAAAATATTTTCTCACCTCCCATTTGAATTCTCTGCCAGAATATAATTTGACATAAAAATTTCTGTGGCATCCAGATCGGCCTTAGAGTGTTTTGACTAAATTTCCCAAGGAATGCAGAAGTTTTCTAATGTCTAATAGACAACTTCTGCAACGTTCAATTAGAGTCTGCATTACAATGTGAAGGATGTATACGCATATGCGCCGCGCATGCTGTTGTACACGGGTGAAGTCCTACAATATGGTATGTACAACTAACGTTAGTACGGAAATAACGTTAGAACACATATTGATTCGGTACAGATTTCCAGAATCGAATCTCGCCGCCGAATCGAATCACGAATCGACGCTATTGGCTAATCCAATTTTGAGTGGATTTGATTGGCTCTTAAAGAAAGGACAAGTATATTCAACCAATCATAACTCCAGCGTGATTCAAAATTGATTAGAACAAACCGTGCGAATTTTGGAAGTTTATAGCGAATTCACAATACCAGTAGTGTACTGTACTTCTGTTCAAATGGTAGGGACTTCGATTGTGAGAACAAAGCTCACAGCGTACTGTACCATATTTTTGCTCGTTTCACAAGAACAACTTTGGAGCCTACCTCGGAACTGTTTGAGGGCGTGGCGATATCCGTACTGTCATACCCATGACTTATAGACCTTTAACAATAAATTACCTTAATGGTATGCGTTATGACAGTATCGTATTAATTTTGTCAACATGTGTGCATTGTCATGACAGTTCATGCATGATACTGTAGTATTATTGGAGCTACATTACGATGAACGAGGCATCGTGCGTGAAGTCGCTTGGTTGCGGCTGCACCTACTGCTACGTAACTCACCCTCCAACCCACAACAATTTTCCCGAGGACACGCTGCCACGTATGTTGGCTCTACACGTCGCGACACTTCAACCGCTATGGCATCACTCCGTCCAATTCATGCGCTTCGAGGTATCGGTTTTTCGGCCTTGACTTCTTGTCATTCCCTGCTGATTTGGTGGGTGACATGGCTGGTATGGCGCACACGAATCCTCCATTCTCACCAATCAAATGTTTTTGTCTGTGTACTCACGACGAGCTCCTCACCCGCCTACCGCACTCAGCTGCAACTCCTGGGCTGTTGACCATGCCGTTCATCGTTCACATTTGACTCGACGAAGCTCAACGTGAGCTACAGTGCAGATTACGCGAACGGCTGTGCCAATGAGCCGCACTTGGCTATCTACATCCCTGGCCAACGAAAAATTGTTGGAGCCCCTGCCCGGAAGATGCTAGAAGAAATTGTGCCCTCACTGCTAAAACAAGTTTCAGTAGCTTGCACATCGATCACAAAATCGTGGACTTTCAACGACGGTTCGGTTGCACCAGTCCCAGTGAAGCTTACAATCACTAACAACACTGCGATGACTTGCGACGGCGATGGTGCAGAGTATGGGGGTGCCGTACCAATTGATGGCTCGTTCACCGAGAACAGCTTCGAGAAGCTGTACAAGATGGCGAACCTCAACCCATCATCTATTTTCCTGGACGTGGGGTGCAGTGCCAGACGTGCATGCTTGTACGCCAGAGCTGCTTTCAAGTGCGCGTTGGTCCTTGGCATCGACGTTGCGAGACTACGTCTGGCCAATGCTTGTGGCAACATACTCGCAAACAAGATTGACCGCATGTTCCTTCTGCATCTACCGGTGGAGCATTTCCAGTACTTGGACCCTGCGACTCACGTTTACTGCTACAACGAAGGCATGCCTCCTGATTTGTTGAATCACATCAAAAGCGCACTCCTTGCATCCAGCAGCATACTCTACGTCATTACATGCGTGAAGTGCTTTCGCTATCATGGCTGTTTCGTGCGAGTTGGCCAAGTGTCTTGCCAAATGCGGCGGGGGAAAGTTCAATGACTGTGTACAAGAGAACAACACTGAAACTGTGGAACCCGTGGCATACCATCCACCCATGTCTTCACTTTGCGCTCTGGATGGTCCAAATGCCTCGCAAGTTACGTACTACAGCACTACGTGCTAACATGTTGTTGTAGGAAAGCTGTTTGACGAGTACATTCGCCAATTACAAGCCCACCTTGTTGGCAACGCCCCTGTGTCGTTCTACGCGTTGTTGAAGAAACGCTATCGTGACCCATGCTGCAGCTACACTGCGGGTTCAAATCCAGGTAAAAGCGTGTCTATTGAAATTATTTTCACCTGCTTTGTCAATAGTCATAAAGGCTCAAAAGTAAGCAGCTTTTAAGTACAACATGCGTACGGTGGACATTGCTATAGCAAATTCGTACCTTGACATGGCCTATGACGGCGATGGCATTGAACATGAGCTTAAGCGGTGAAAACCAAAGGAAAGTTCATCGTTGGTACAGTATATGGAGAAATACGACCCGACGGACAGAAACATATTCTCAGCGTGGTCGGATTGAACGAGCATGACGTCTTCGTCGATGTTGGCAGTAGGTCGGGGAGGTTTGTCCTCTACGCTGCAATGACAACAGAAGTCAAGTGGTGTTTAGGTTGGTTTATAAATTGCGACGTATTTCATCACATGTTGTAAGCATTGAAATCGTCACGGCTAGAGCCAATATCGGTGATCGAGCTCTGGAATCTATCGAAAATGAAAGCAAGGTAACCAACCGTTCGGGCAGCATTACTCAGCGGAGACGCTTTGGACGAATCGAGCTTCTGGGGACGGTTCGCGACAGTTCTATTCTGCAACAACGTGAAGTTTGCGCCTCCTGACAACTTGAAGCTGCAGAACAGAATTCAAGACGCCAAGAACTTACGGATGTGCGTTCTCACTTGCAAGTTATCTTCAAACCTCCGCAGCGGCGACCTCATCGGCTTCACATTGCAAACTATAGTAGAGGTAGATGCCAGCTTAACTGCACATGCTATGTGTATGTGCGCGAAGAGTAAGTGACAATAACAAGGTAATGTTAGTCCTGTCATGGACCATGACAATGTACAACAAAAGCATGTTGTCTTGTCACGGTTCATTGCAATGTACAACAATGTGCAGCATTAGAAAAGACTGTGTCCTGCATACAGAACTGACCAATTGCTGTGCTAAATACCAAAATGACAAAGTATTCAGTATATCGTGTAATATATGTTATGATACTGTGAAATACAATTTGGTTGATCCTATTAAAAGATGCACGTCGTGACTAATTTGACACGTGAGTGAGGAACAACGCTCTGATTTCGTATGTACTAGTATACTGTAAACCTTTATATCGAAATTAGAAGGTTGCACCTAAAGTGTCATTGACACAGGAACGCAGTGACAGCAAGACATGGCGGGAACTCGAGGCAAGCGAGCGAAGACTGAGCCATGACGCTTGATTTTAGGTATGCAACAACTATGATTTGATATTGAACGTAGCTCCTCTGAAGTCGCAGCTCCACCAACAGTCGTCATCGACCTGACGGAAACCCCGGATCCACAAGCTCCGCCAGTCTACATCGAGCTAGGAAGGGAAGTGTGTTTTGATGACCTCTCGGAAATACCGAGTGAAACGCTTCAAATTGGTGAGGTGATGACTTACTATTCGACATTTTATGTCGCCGGGAACCCCGTGAAAAATGTGAATCGCAAGGTGATGTCACGGCCACATGTGCCAACTAAATGTTGCTGTGCTTAGTCGTACTCATCGACATTGACAGCGACCAAGAGCACCGCGTAAGACTCAAGAATGAACAATGGTACACTCCATTTTCGCAGCGATTGATTAATGATTGACACGTAGGATCAATCCACATGATATGGTAAAGCGCGTGAAGGATCGGAATGGCAACACGATCTCGGACAGCTGTGGTGCATAGTGTCCACATACAATTTGGTCCAAGGTGAGATTCGTGGGGTGACACCAACAATGGAGTTGGTAGCCGCCATGAGAAATGCACAGTACCTGTGGTAGAAGCAGTTCAGGGCTCGCACAGAAAAGTAGACAGCATCAACAAGTAACTAGCATGACAGATCTGATTGTAAGCTTGACTTGTTGGCATAACATATGACACATGACAACACAAACAACGCAGGACTGTATTACTACATGACGCATGACACATGACAAACTTAAAACGCAAAAAAGACTTCGTCCCATATGCAAACAATATGGGACGAAGTCTTTTCTGTCTTTTACGTTCTCACCTACTCATTTGTCGATTTATTTGCATCAGGACAATGGTGCCGTCGCTCTTCCCACGTGATTGCATGATGCCTCGCAAACGAATACATGCCCTGCGGTACATGTTCGGAAGCACACAAACCGAGACATGGGGCTTCAACTTCTACCAAGACGGGACAGTCACCTACGTCGTCCATCAATCGCCCGCTTACCGAGCCGGGTTGACTGTGGGTTCCATCATTTGCGACGTGTGGAACAACAATGCCAATGTGTGGGGCCCTCCTGATCCCCGCTTGTTTTTGGGCCAGCTGCTTCTCGTCATGAAAGTTGACCAGACGAAGCGCGGCAAACGTTGGACGGCGTATCTTGTTGCTCGCAATCGCCGGTACAAAGAAGGCGCTATACTTGGACATACCGTGGCAAGTTGCACAACGATTGAAGCGAAGTGTGTTTTACAGGCTTGAACATGAATTCGATAAACAACGATAAACATGAATCGAACTCTGTTACATAATCTTACGAGAACAATAGGTGGTTTCGCCATTGGTGAACTGCGTACAACGACTCAACTCGTCATCCAAATATTCATCAGACATGGACGGCCCGGGCTCCAAATCAATTTGTAGCCGTCGGATGTTTTTGCTGCGCGGCGAACCACTTTCGCTGCCGGCGACGTGTCAGTGGGCGGCAGCAGCTTCCACGTGGCCTTCCGTTTACCGTTTTCGGCGGCTTTGGCCGCACGGACCAAAGCCCCCTGAAACGGTGCAGCATTCCATGACCCGGCGTTGCCGACGGGTGTGGCTGCGCCAGTGCTGGGTGCCGTGGCAGTGCTGTTGGCAGCCGAATCTTCCGTCGTCCTGGCATCCGTGCTCATGTGGGCCTTTTCTTGGCGCGGGGTGCCGCTGCCGCGCGGGGTGTAGTGGCTGTGCGGTATGTCTTGGCAGACGGGTGGCGTGTGTTCTGCATGGCGCTGCAGAAAGACCTATGAGCCTTTTTAGAGGTCGGCTCATGGTCTCATGATCGGTAAGGCCGTTAGTCTCAAATGAGCCGTTGCCGGTGCCAGATCCACAACCTTTGTCATTTGATAATTCTAAATCAAACTTCTGAATCATAATTTTGGTTGCCACAGAAACGGTCAAATGTACGGAGAGTCGTGCCATAGCCAGAAACAGCCAAAGCTCAATGGCGTACACGGACAAGCGTCGTAACTGGTCGCAAGAAGACGACCTCACCCTTCTCAAGCAAGTGACAGCCGATACTCCATTCGCTGCAGAGAAAGGGCAGCTCAGAAAAGCTTGGCAAGGACTTGCGGAAACACTCATGTCGTGCGAGAACTTCGGCCGTGTCGTCGACGGGAAGAAGGTACAGAATCGATTCCAGGCCCTCGTCGACGAGCATCGAAAATTCGATGCAACGTCAGCGCGTCTTTCTGGTTCAGACCAGGAGGAGAAGGAGAAGCATATGCTCCTCGACGACATCATCACGCTGCTGGATGACGTGAAGGCCGAGCAGCAAAAGACAGAAGCTCAAAAGCGCTCCCAAGATCAAGATGACAAGGATAAAGTCGAACAAGGTGGGCTTATAGT